ACAAGAATTACAGTTTTTTTCAAGACAGCCTTCTTGAAAAGAAGGAATTATCACTTCAAAGTTAATTCCTGTTTCAGTATCACTGAAGACCTTAATGCAGCTCCCAAAGGTCTGTGCCCACCCCCGATCAGCCTTAGCTCCAAACATACTAATATCAATAGCCTGGATTTAATAGAGGGACAATTTGCAATCTTTTGGGGGAAAAAGTGAATGCTGGTGCTACTCTGAGCATGCACATAGTGCAGTAAACTAACACGTCTGCCTCAATGCAGAGAGATTGGACAACTAGATTGTAGAAGACAAAAATGAGTTATTTAGAAGGGGAAAGCACTGATCTGTGGAACCTATTTTACCTCAGTTTTATCCCTTTCGGTGACATTTGAGATTCTGGCAAATCCATGCACCTATCAGCTGAGATCTTACTCCTCATGCTGAACTCACATACCTTGTAATTTGGAATGAGATTTAGAAACACGCAGTTGAAGTTTGCGCTATATATAATTTTTATAACTAGGATAAACTTTTTAGCCAGGTAAGTATTTGAACTCCAGTGAACTGGAAACAACATAGATCAGAGAGAAAGAAGCATTTCTGGTAGTGTCTGTCCTCAGGAGCAGCTAGCAATTAAACAACTAACCCTTAAACTCCATAAGCCAAATTCTTCCCTACAGCTGTTCCACTGAAACTACTTTATTAGAAAACAAACTGGGCTTGTGCTGTGGAGCACGACCAGCTCAGGTTCCAGTTATGCAGCTAGTAATACTTTTTCTTTTCAAAAACACTTAGTAGTACTTTTTCCATGCATTTCCATCACCCACACAACCACAAAACCACCATGCAGTTCTGCAAAATGCTACCTTCTGTTCACAAGAGGCCCCTGCTTCAGACCGCAAGAGAAAAAAATTACTATATCGTATACTCACCCCCTTTTTCAAAAGTCAAGATAATTCTTTCATTTTATTTCACAGCTGGCAAACCCAAGAGCCCACAAAGAGAATTAGTTGCTATAAATATTCATGCCTATAAATGCCAACTAAAACTTGGCCTAAAAGAGTATAATGAAACAAGAAACACAGCTCAGCAAAAAGACATCCTTTCTGTCCAGCTCACCAGGCAGGTCTGCTGCCCTTGGACCAGGAGCTCTCCTCCAATTCCCAGCTCCAAAACACACCGCCTGTTCTTTGCACATTAGGGTAGTTCTGCACTACTAGAGCTCCTTTCTAGGATCCTGGAGCATACCGGTCAGTTCTGTCCTCTGTTTCAAGCTGAAGGAATTGTGCAAGACATGTAGTTTAGTCACCTCAATAAAGCAAGATGGATCACATCTCATTTCACTCCAGATGCCCAGTTAGACATCTGAGATAGTCACCTGATGCTCTGTTTACAGTCAACAGAAGGAATACAACACCTCCAGAGGATCCTTCCTCTGATCTATTTTTGAATGAGGTAAACCCCCCTCCAGAAAGGCTATGGCAATTAACTTAGGCTTGCATGTCTTCTTCACGCCCAAATTAAGGCAACCAAATCACAGCCAAAAATACAATACACTTATTTCCCCTTTCATTGATACACCGTGTTAGTGTACATCCCCCACCTCTTCCAGGGAGTCTAATTCCCCAAACTCTACAGTACACACTCCTGGTCACACAGTGTCTATGCAGGTATTTCCTGTTATAACTAAATAACTTCCCCCCCCACACACACATTTTCAGGTTTTATTCCTATGCTACTTTTTGGCTCCCTCCTTCATTACTTCTAAGGCTGCTATTTATTTCTTTCAGGACTCTTTCCTAGGAGTTTCACTTTGTTCTGTCTTCCCAGATTGGAATGTCTGCAACAACGCTTAAAAACCACATTTATTATTCAAGGTAAATGACATTATACAATAAAATGTATCAGTATGACTGCAATCTGCCTATCCTGCCTTGTCAGTATCAAACACAGAACAACTGCCTTCCTCTGCAAAGAATGAACAAGAGACACTCAGCAGTGGTTTGCTGCTCAGAGACTTATTTCTCATTTCAGATGAATGCCTCTGAGCCGTACAAGATGAAATCACAAAGTGCTGACTTGAAGTAATGGTGCAACTAATCAAGACGTTCCTGGAGCATGACCTCTTCCAATAAATAAAAATGTAAACTTCAACAAAGCCTTATACATATTTCTAGACACTTCAGTGCAGTGGACTGATAAACCTCAATATATCACTGCTGAGAAAATACTTTCAACATTTTAGAAAACATCTGCTGTCAGGAAAGTACCTACTGAAGGATTTTGAAGATGGGTGAGAGCAAAAGGTCTTTAATTTCATGGCTGCCTTTCACCAACTGTTTCTCTGTAGAACTGATGTTTAAGAAACCTATACATTTTAGTAAGCTACTCCTTTTAAGATTATTTTCTATTAATAAAGCCTTATTTGTTTCTATCGTTATTTAAGGGACACATGCATTGAAGTCTTAACTTTTTTTAACCTTATACTATGATGTTTACATTTTTCCTTGTATTTTTTTTTCTGTAAATATATACTAATGATTATGTCACATTTAAAAAATTGTTAGTAAGTTGTTCAAGGTGTTATATCCTAAGTCTACACTAGCAAGCAGTGTAAAACCTTACAGGTAGGTGTAGAGCTATAGGGTGAAATACTTGGCATCGAGGGCACAGCTTTCACACTACTCTCTTTTTTTGTGGCTTTTACTTCCAATTATCTCCTACCTGATCCTGTAGGCTGAATTTGCGTTAGCACTCGGAGTACATTAAGCGAGCTCCTGGAGTAGCTCTGACGCAGTTTTATTCCAAACAAAATCAGTTTACTTGCTCTGAGATGCAAACTGAAGTGCAGTAAGTGCGGATGATCAGGACAATCATTTCAAAAATCCATTCCTGCTTTAACTAATGCACTAATGTATTTGCATCCATATTTTCCAGAAAAGAAGGAACTCCTAGAGCACTGATGCTTATCCCCTGGTATCTCCATGGGACTCCATTCTCTCAGGTCTTTTTCAGTATCGATCTCTAAAATTTTTCACCCTGAAGTTATGAAAGAAATAGGACCTTCCACACCATTCACCTTATTTGCATATTTAAAAGACAGTGAAAATTGATGGCAGAAGTTAAGAGGGAATCCCTATCTGGGATTCATTTATTCTGCTAGTTTAGTGGCAAAGACCATGACAGGTGCTTCTCACATAGCCTTCGTGCGATACTTGGATTAAAAGCTGCATGAAGAAAGGGTATAACAGGAGCAAAGTGTCAGAGCAGGAGAACCCACAGCTACAACCTTGTAGCTGAAACCACCTTGGCAACTGCTTCGCTGAGTGGAAAAGTCCCCTGTTCTACAACAGGGGCAGAAGCCTTGCAGAGCAGAACATCTTGAGAGAGTTGTAACACACAGATACCACTTCTCATCTTCATTTGCTGATGCCAGACTTGGGTTAGCTGAAAATTAAGGACTTCACAATTTAGCCCCCTCACAGTATGGTGTTAACCCACACACCGTCTGGGTTTCTCAAACAGGGAACTGTACCAGCTGCTAGCTCCTATGGAGATAGCTGGCAAGGTAACATAAACTATGACTTGAGATGGGGAGCTCGCCACTACTAAGATGTAGCTGTTGCTTTCTTACCTTGTGCCCCTTGGACTGTTATCTAAACCAACCACACAGCAGAGTATTAATTATAACACTGTGTAATGAGGGATCTAAAGAACTCATGTAAAGGAGAGATCTGCAGTTAAAGACCAAGGTATGCTGTTAAATCCTTAACGACAATTAAGGACATGAATTATAAGAGAGTACAACTAGTCAGAACTGAGATACAGTGCAATGTATGAGAGAAAAATCCCTTGACCTTTTCTCTTATTGGAAACTTTAATATGAATGCCTGCTGATGGCATTCATATTTTAAAAATAATTTAAGAGTTACAGCTATAAAAGAGCAACAATCACTAAAGCTGCTAGCTGTATTCCAATACCTAAGGAAAACGGTATGCCAGATCTGCTTGGGAGCTACTGCTACTTTGTACTTCAGACCTCCACAGGAGTATCATGAAAAGCCTTTAATGTTATACAGAAAAAGACAAAGATTTCCCCAACAAAAGCATGATATAACAGATTAAATGTAATTTACAGCAAATATTACTTTATATTACAATCAATCAAATCTGAAAATTCTTGGAGAACAGAGAACCCAGACATTTTAGAAACTAAGTATTTAGGGAAGTCGTAAATGTTGCATAATCCCATGTAACACATCTCACTGGAGAAGGGGACACTGCTTGTCAAGCTTTCCTGGGATAACACAAACTGCGTTTACTAACATAAACCTGCTTACCTGGAAAAACATTAAGGCAAAATACAGAGCTCACTTGCCTGTGTAACACCAGGGACATTTCAGTCCTCAGCAGAGGAAATAAACCAAGAAATCACATGCCACATGTACTGCACACAGGCATTTTGCAATCAACCTGTAGTTCAAAATTAACTTGCCCAAACTAGTAAGTTTACAAAACGCATGTTTCACAGGAGACAAGTGATTCATTGCTGATTCACAAGTAAAGAAATGCCAACGTTTGCCAAATTTGTGCCTTGACAATACTAAAAATGCCCTCAAACCAATACAGTGAAGTTATTCTAAGGATAATTCCCAGCAAAAGGCACAACCAGGCATGGGAAGATGTGAGCTGTAAGGCATCGCCTGACCTAGCCCAGCACTGGAGTGTTTTTTTAACCTGCTTCCTTCTGAAAAACTGAAGTCTCAGAAACGATTTGGGGGGGGGGGGGGGGTGGGGAAGAGAGAGAAAAATCATAAAAGTTGCGTCTGATTACAGCCAGTTAGTCAACAAAACAATTAACAAAAATCAACAGAGAAAAGTGGAGCTGCAGTACAGAAAAACATGAACTTGGCAAACATGTAGAGAGGGGGCTGTCTGGTCATATATCAACATCAAAATCCACTTGGCATGGAAATATCTAATTTGAGCTTTTAAAACCTATAATTTACCTACTGTATTCAAACGAGACCACAGAAAGATGAGCGGTGATTTTTCTTTGCTTTGCAATATCTTACCCGCAGAAAAACGTTTCAAAAGCAGCACAGTTTAGTAGACTCAAGCAAGGAAAAATCCAAAACATGAGTAATTGCATGGAGCAGCTGAGGGGTAGGTGGATCCATGCAGCTTCCACATGCCGCTGTTAATGACTCATTAACCCTTCTGCAGATGCAGAGTAACGAGTTGCTAGGGCTTGCATGGAAACAGCGTGCGTTATTACAGACCCTAGAGGACAGCCCTGATTTGGGAGAGGTTGGCTGGGGGTTGCTAAGCTGCTTATCAGAGTCTTCCTCGAAAACATCCATGAGGCGGGTGTGAGATCCGGGGGAGGGGGACACACGGACACGCAGAAGCTCAGTCCTGCAGGTCAGGTCTGCGAGCGGAGCCGTGAGCCCCGGCCAGGGCAAGGGGCTGGGAGACGGAGGTGAACTTGGGCTCCACCGGGCGCGCAGCGAAGGCCGGGCCCTCTCTGAAGTACAGCGGGATAAAGCGGCAGCCCCGGCTCCGCCACCTGCCTTCGGTTTAGGTTTCCCCTTCTCCGGCACCTGGGACTCCTCCGCCTGCCCCTGCGCTCCGACGAACCGGAGCCGCTGCGCCCGTCCCTGGCTGTCAGGAGGGACGCGCATCCCCCGCTCCCCACCACCCGCTTCCCGCGCAGACCCACCTGCGGCGGCTGGGGCGGACCGGCGCGGCGGGGCGCTCCCCGGGGCACGGTACGGACAGCGCCGAGCGGCGGCGGCGCGGCCCCGTGTCGTCCCGCCCCCCGGGTAGCGGCAGCGCAGCGCAGGGCAGCCACCATTGGGCGCTCCTCGGCGACGCGGGGGGCCGCGGAGCCGCATTGGCCGGGGCGGCCCGAGAGGCCGGGCGAGACCCGGCGAGCGGCCCCCAGCGAGTGGCCGGTGCAGCCGTCGGCGGTGGGAGGGTTGGAGGAGGCGGTCGTATGCTTCTTCCCGGAGCGGATCCACGATGAAGAGGTGCACGGCTTGTTGTTGAACACGAGTCAAGAGCCAGCGCGCGTTGCTGCCTCACCTGCAGCCACCCGCTCTTGCAGAAATGCAAAACCCGAATGTGTAGATACGAAACATACAACACAAAAAACTCATTCTGCTCGGGCTCATTCCACTGGCATGCTTAAATACGACAATAGTTAGTTGTAACTAATGATTTTGTGTACCCGCTTCTAATACAAATTAACAGAAGTGTCTCTCTATTCTTTTGTTAGACGATGGATTTCACAGATCAGCAAATAGCTCACAATTTATACCAGTCAGGACTAATCGAGCCAACTGCAGTATCTGTGAACCGAGTTGGTTTTAAGCTGGCAAGTGGTAGTAGCATTACAGACATAATAACATATAGCTAAACTATCATTTGTGTCTTTAAAGATTTCAGGTCGCAATTTGTATATGCAAATGTCATTATGGAGGTTTTAATTTGTAACACTACTACAATTTCAAAGCTTCCAATGAAGGCAGGTTATGGATAATGAGCACGTGCGCCAAAAAACACACACAAATGCGAGCGTGGCTGTGCACACACCCACCCACTGGTGGATTCGGAGGCTGACTCCGGAGAGCTGAGGAAGCAACAAAAGTCACCTAAGAGCTTCCTACAAATCTGAACGTTGCAAGCTGAGAAAGACTAATAACCTTAATTAGATGCACTAGAACATCTTAAAGCCCTTTCCGACTCTAACCATTCCATGGTTCCAGCATAAAAGCTTTAATTAGTAGTGGGGACTCACTGTAAAAGAAAAAAACATATTACAGAAATGTAACTCTTCTCTCGGTGAACTATCAGTTTTTTAAGTGCTCATGTAAAACACTGGGGAAGTCTCAGGTGAAAAGTGCCAGGCAACCACACAGTTATGATAACTGGTGTTCTGCTTGGCAGTTTAGCAGCACTGCTTCGCTTGGTTGTGTCTTGAAGGAGCTTTCAAAGAGGCTTGAAGGTTTACTACTGGTACATACTACTCTGGGGACATGCGTTAAAACATGACACTCAAACAAAACACGCCACTCAGAAAACAAAGCCCCCGTGGCAGAAGTGGGGATACCCTCTCGCACAAAACACTGACAAGAGTGCCAGCTAGAGGTGGTTGGGAGAAAATAATACTCAACCCGAACATTGCCAAACTATTCGCACATCGTGCATAGTCTTACCCAGAAGTGTGAAACTCCCCCGTGTTTATTTGCATATACCGAACATTTTGCCGTGAGAGGTTAAGGCTGGTAGCCATGCTCATTTACGTGTGTAAAGGTTAACTACAACAAGGACACTGGATAGTTCTGCTCAGGTACAACTGGTGTCTTTGTTTCTTCTCATAATTAATTTATGGGCCAAAAGAACTACAGATTAGCTTTCCAGTTATTTCCCTCTATCTCCTCCATCTTTAATAAATACAGGGGCCAGAATAACATCACTGACCACTGATGCACAAGCGTGGGAGAGATCCTGACCTGAAACACTCCAGGACCATCAATCCTGTCCTGGTTTTTGGTCAAGTCCTGATCCCTATTTCTTCTTTTTTCTTAATTTGTTTCTGAATAGCAGCATCAGGATCAGCCATTACAGAGTAACTTTGCACAACAGTACTCTGAGCCTGTAGTCACAAAGGCAGCTACAAATGCTGCCAGGAACAGTCCCAACAGCTGCAATAGTTGCCGTATCTTGCACTGCTAAAAGCACACAGCCTGAAATTTCATCAGTCAGGCTGTAATTAATACCCACTACTAGAAATACAGGTTATGTTTTCCAGCTTTGCTGTCCTTTTCACCCTCAAGTGTGTTTACTGCTAGCCTTTAGATAAAGGTTGAGGAAATAGATGTTTCTTCATTTAAAAAGACATTAAAGGAAGAAGGCTTTCATATAATGTACTGCTTTTTTAGCACTTTTCCCTCTTTTATGTATATTAACAGGTTTAATCTGGCTCTAGCACTAATTACTTTTTCTGATATCAAGTAAATTGAAGTTCCTGCATTCAACATCCTTTGGGGGGGGGGGGGGGGAAGGAGGAGATGATTTAGGACATTTGGTTCTCTTAAATTACTTATTCCATCAAAGTTATTACACCATTACCAAAGTATCAGACAGCTCTGTTTAATACCATTATGCTACTTGGACTTGTAAGAAATTTTTACTGTTTTTGTTTCCAAAATACTTTTATGAGTAAGGTCTAGAATGGAAGGACTTGCAGGTAACATACCTGCTACAGGTTTCTTATGTTTTCAAGCCTTCTCTGAATTGAAGCTACAGAGCTGTGTGTTCCTGTGTTTAGCCATGAAGTGGTCAAGCAGTTGGACTAGGTGGTCATTGTAGATCCCTGATGTAATATTCTATACTACATTCAAATAGCTATGCATTAAATTTCTGGTTGAAAACGATTACTCATACAATAGCAAGGGAAATTACGATACTCTTCTTGAACGCTCCCCCTCCTCTCCCTCCAATGTAAGAGTGCTGGTGGCGAAATCACACACACTCCAGAGTCTGATCTGCCTACTTCAAATAGTTTGGGTTTGAACAACAAAGATTACATCCTTCCATTTTCTAGAGAGACATAATGTTGCATATTAACCATACAATATTCTGTTGCTGACATTCTGACCTATGTTGAACATGTATTTATGGTGAGACTCTACAGGATTAGAGCATGTGACATTATAACTATAAACATACGTACTTAATAACGAAAGGCTAGACAATCCCAATTCTAATTCATTTTGAATATAGACATTACCTGACTTTTTGTTTTCTCAACCTGACAGATAATTAGGGTTTTAAATGTTAATATTTCATTATAAAGACAATTTATTAATAATTCATCTTGGGAAACGTTCAGTTATGCTTTTGTTCCAATACAGAACAACAATTCACAAGGAAGCTTTACTGCAGATTTAACTGAATACATCAGTTAACAAAATTCAATATACTTCATTGTATTAAATGAAGTGAGGAAGTGTGATTTAACCCTTGGTGGTATCCCAACAGAGACCCCATTCAGAAGTGTACAGAAGCACTTCCAGAATTTTTTACTCATCTGGACCTGCTTCCACAGTTAAGTCTGTACTTCACATACTTTATACTGCGTCACTAAGTACAGGCTTACAGTTCATGCATGATCCACAGCCCATGGGTTGATATTGACGCAACACGAAAGAACAGTAAGAGAAAATAAGTGTGTTGTGCCAAAGGACTGTTTGCTTAGCTTCCTTACCTTGTACATATGCAGATGCACGTGAACAGCTTTTGCTTCAGCCATCATATTTTGCCTGGCCATCATATTTGAGAAATCATGGCAGTCAGGTGAAGTTCCCAACGACTGGAAAAAGGGAAATATAACCCCCATTTTCAAGAAGGGGAAAATGGATGACCTGGGGAATTACAGACCAGTCAGTCTCACCTCTGTGCCTGGCAAAATCTTGGAGCAGATTCTCCTGGAAGGCATGCTAAGGCACATGAGAAACAACAAGGTGTTTGGTGACAGCCAGCATGGCTTCACTAAGGGGAAATCCTGCCTGATCAATTTGGTGGCCTTCTATGATGGGGCTACAGAACTGATGGACAGGGGTAGAGCAGTCGACGTCATCTACCTGGACTTGTGTAAAGTGTTCGACACTGTCCCACACGACATCCTTGTCTCTAAATTGGAGAGACATCAATTTGATGGATGGGGCACTCAGTGGATAAAGAACTGGCTGGATGGCCGCACACAAACAGTTGTGGTCAATGGCTCGATGTCCAGCTGGAGACCAGTAACGAGTGGTGTCCCTCAGGGATCGGTGTTGGGACCGGTCTTGTTTAACATCTTTGTCACTGACATGGACAGTGGGATTGAGTGTGCCCTTCGCAAGTTTGCCGATGATGCCAAGCTTTGTGGTTCGGTTGATACGCTGGAGGGAAGGAATGCCATCCAGAGGGACCTTGACACACTTGTGAGGTGGGCTGATGCCAACCTTATGAAATTTAACCATGCCAAGTGCAAGGTCCTACACCTGGTTCGGAGCAATCCCAGGCACAGCTACAGGTTGGGCAGAGAAGAGATTCAGAGCAGCCCTGTGGAGAAGGACTTGGGGGTATTGGTCGATGAGAAAATGAACATGAGCCGGCTTCAGTCTGCGCTTGCAGCTCAGAAAGCCAACCGTATCCTGGGCTGCATCAAAAG